ATCCTATTATGCAAACTCTTTACAAGGATGTAATGTATTTAGTACAAGTGCATTAGGAGGATATTTTACATTTGATCTTCCTTTTACATCAAGTTTGAATATACAATTATACAATAGAACAGGAAATTCAGTGACATTTTGGTTACAACCTTTTATCACAAGAACTTCATCGTTACAACAAACATTAACTAGTATTAATCCGTTAATACCTCGATCTATCTCATCCATTAAGTTGTACTCAACAACATTTAGATATGTAAATACAACTTATGGTAGTGAATATATGCTAATGAATGTTATGGATAATGGAAACGGAGTGTATTTGAAATACATAAGAATGCATGTCATTGGAGGATCTGGAAACTGGTGGGAATCTAGAGTTCGCATTTATGATGGATATGGTGCTCCTACCAATACTAACTCTGTCATTCAACCTTGGACACCTTATAATAATAATGGATATACTACATTTTCTGGATATGATGTTAACAGTCGATGTATCTACGCTTCATCAGGTTTAGAAGATTTTTATCTCTCTTCATGGAATGGATCTAATGTAAGCTCATTTAATAATGAAGTATCAGGATTGTTGAATCAATCAACTAGTACAATTGGTCCAACAACTACAATTTCATTTTATAGAAACTTTAATTCATCTGAAAGTATGCCTAGCGTTGGTATAGGTAGAAGAATGGTAGTGACACTCAACTCTGGTGATGCACAAGTTGGACAATCTGGAAGCTATGCTGCACTGATAGGACAATGCTTCTACTATGCATAAGATCACTCTGAATATCACGTGACCTGTGACGTCACGCAATAGAAACGAAATTGATACTAATTTTTTAGCGTAGCATTGATCACGAAGCGACCTAAAAATTTATTTCTTAGTTATAATATTTATACACACTATGAATGATAATGAATCATATATTTTAATTAAATATATGATTGAAAATATAGTTGAAAATGAAAATGGCCCAGAACTCTCCTTTTCTAACTACTAATGAGCAAATATCGTCATTTTCTAACTACTTACAGAAAAAGAATGCTAAAATTAAATGAGGTCTTTCTTGTTGTTAAAACAAGGCATTATTGATATATTTTCTGCTCTTGCACAAATAAACCCATCTCTCAAAACCAGACACTGTTTCATGAGCTGCAGTAACCTAAATAAAATAAACTCTTTTTTAAAAGTATTTTTAATGCACTAAGTTTTTTTTTTTACATTTTTAACAACTAATATATTATTGAGATTAGGGAAAGTTAATTTTACCTCTTTAACTGCCCTCTCAACTCCTTATGTGTGAACAGGGAAATGCAAAACTACCATGGGACAATCCAGAATTTTTTTAAGCTAATTTATGTTCATTTGACAGGTTAAGGTGGGTTCATAGGACTCTTCCCATGTTATCAATACAATCAATTTGGTTTAAATCAGGAAGTTTATATATTCTAGGAACTAGAGTTCCTGCTTCCTCATTTTTTCTAATTTCTAAAATTTTGTTTAGAGCAAATTCTCTTTCAATTTTATTTTGGCTGCAAAGTAATGCCTGCAACATGATTTCAGAATGAGAATTCCATGCAGATGATCTCACATATTTTTCAATAACTTTTTGTACATTTTTATCTTGAAGTTTAATAAGGTTAAGTTGGTTCAAGATGTACCCGTGGCCCTTCTATCCAGCTATGCTTCAATTTGATTTGGAACCACAAACCTTCAGTTCCTGAAATTACTGTCTGGCATATTTTATAAGCATACTTCCAATCTAAAGACAACTCTTTTATTATTTCCTCATCAAGTTCAATTAAACCATGACCTATAGATATTCATTGAAAAGCAACTTAATAATCAGTCCAGAAAACCCTGTCTTTGAGGTTTTCTTCTCATCAAACTTTTCTATTAAATGACAAAAACAAAGTTTGTTTGTGTGAAGAGAAAATATTAGCCACCCGAATTTTCTTTCTAATTTAACCTCTAAACAATAAATAACACCTCCATTATGGCATGTATTTATAGCTGTGCTATCACAACCAATGAACTTTAAGCTATGCACCATGCAACACCATGCAAAATAGATCATTGAAATATTTTATTTGCTATATGTTCAGCAGGCCTAATTTTTGATTTTTCACATATTTCTCCTTTCGTTCAATGATGAAGATATCTACCATATTCATCAGTCAAAGTATAGTGATCTTCTTTTTAAATTAGAAATTTTTTTTTGGTTGCTTCACTAAATATCATTAAATTGGTTTTGTGATTTCTTTCATCAAAGAGAATACAAGAAACATCCTCAGAATCTAATCTATTCTCTGCAAAAACCTGACACTCTGACATAACTTTATCTTTTGCTCTATGCATTTTTTTTTTGTCCAGTAATAAAAAAAGACCTGATTCTGGAACAACTTTAGCTTCCACCAAATCTTTTAAAAATCCTGAAGCAATTGCAGCTGCAGCAGTGTTTGAAACTTCATATCTTATTGCAGCAATAGCAGTATTTTGAATCTTCATATAATTTTGCTTTACTTTGAAATCATCACTTATGTTTATTAAATCAATATGTTCAGTGTAACTAGAAAATTCAAACGCATCTTTAGAGCACTCTTCTTCATCGTTACTTTTTTCTGAAACCTCAGCTTCCTCAGGTTCTTTCCTCACAATTCTCAGGTTCTTTTCGAATGACTACTATTCATCATTCATATTCATCTTTGAACTTTTTTAAATTCTGTTCTTTCTTACTACATTGCTTAAATGCCTTTTGCTTCCTTTTAATCTCTATGTAGTCTTTTGATCCTATCAAAATTTGAGACCTACTTTTTTTCTCTGTGAGGGAATAAATTCTAATTCTATTACAGGAATCCTCACTAACATTTCACATTTACAGTTGATATGAATTTTTTTTTCACATCCCAGACAACCTAATTCATTACAGAATAAAATTGCACATTTGCAGTTAGTTATATCAAAGAGTTGTGACAAAGACTTCATTATTTTGTCAACTTCTACTTTTTTTGGTTAATCTTTTTCTGCAAATATCCTGAACATCATTGTAATTTTTGACAATGGACTTATCTGTAAAAATAAATGGATGTGAAAAGTCTGAGTTTGCTTTTTTCCATTGTTTAACAACTTCTAATCTTGCTTCCCAAACCAAATCATCTAATGGACTTTTTTTCCTGACAACTCTTTAATGAGTATAGCTTTTCCAAGAACATCACCATAAGTTGGTAGTTAAGATGAAATAAAGTCTCTACCTTTTCCTTAAGATAAAATTTTATCATTATTATTATTATTGTTATTATAATATTACTATTATTATTTTTGTTATATAACAACATTATATTAACATTATATCGATATTATTATATTAAGATGTAAGATTATTAACAAACAAATAATATTAATTTTAAATATATAGGATCATAATATTTTAAAAATAATATTTGTCAATATTATTGTTTTCAATGTCAATGTTATTATTGATTAAATTTTTTAGAAGAAAATGTATTATTCATGACTTAATATTTATATTATTATTAAAATAATATATTAAAAAAATATTATACATAATTTCAAAAAAAAAGCAATAATGTTTTTAAAAATTGTATAATTCTTAAATCAGACATTAATGTGCTTGTCTTTTTTCTTGTTTTTATACCGCTCATTATAAATTTTCTTATTTATTTCAACTATATTGTATTAGTGGGTTAAAATTAATAAAAATATAAAAGCGAAATACAAAAAATATAATACAAAAAATATCGAACATCAAGAACTTTTTTGTTTCAAAAATTTCCTATGAAAAACTGTTGTGAAATATAAAAAATTTAATTTTATCAAGTCTATACGGTAAAAAATTTAATTTTATTTTAATTATGTTTACGCTTCAAGATATTTTAATATTGTATTAGTGGGTTAAAATTAATAAAAATATAAAAGCGAAATACAAAAAATATAATACAAAAAATATCGAACATCAAGAACTTTTTTGTTTCAAAAATTTCCTATGAAAAACTGTTGTGAAATATAAAAAATTTAATTTTATCAAGTCTATACGGTAAAAAATTTAATTTTATTTTAATTATATTTACGCTTCAAGATATTTTAATATTGTATTAGTGGGTTAAAATTAATAAAAATATAAAAGCGAAATACAAAAAATATAATACAAAAAATATCGAACATCAAGTTTCAAAAATTTCCTATGAAAAACTGTTGTGAAATGTAAAAAATTTGATTTTATCAAGTCTATACGGTCAAGTCTATACGGTTTTTTATTGCTTTTGCATAAAATTATATTTACGCTTCAAGATATTTTTAAGGTCAATTAAATATAGCAATAAATAAATTTTTGCAAATGAAGACCTATTAATAGCAGCTTTATTTTAACAGATCTTAACTTTATATACTTTCTTGCAAAAAAATACCAAAGGCCAAGTGTTGATTTAAAAAAAAGTTGTTTTTTGAAAAGTATAGAATGCCTTAATGTATACGATTAGATCTCTTGTTGTCTCTCCTGAAATAAAATTCATGAGTTTAGAATATCAATATTTTTTTATGTAGCAGAGTTGAATTTACTAAAAAATTTTTGTTTTTAATGTTTTGAAAAATTTATGCATAGGGATAGGAAGAAATTTTGAACTAAATAATGCATACATATGCAAAAAAAGGAGGGGAGGGGGTTCATTAAAAGCATATAGGTAATAAAAGCGTACAAGGAGGAAGGGGGTCCTAAGTCAGTGGTTTAACTGCGTGTATATGTATTAAATATTTTCTAATAAAATTTTTCTTTTCTAATAATTTATTTACATAAACTATTTAATTTATTATTTAATTGTTTTAAAATATTTTTTTTATAAAAATTAATATCTAATTAACTCATTACTTGTTAAAGATAAAGTAAAAATTGAATGCTTCCAAAAAAAAAAACTTGTTGTCAGTTTTTAAAAAATCATAATTTCCTGGCCTGTCAATATAATAGGATATGCACTCATACCATTCCCGAAGCCACTTGCCATGCAAAAGAAAGCAAATCTTCTGGAGTTATCACTCCAATTTCATCCAGGGGAATCTCATTTGGCATAACTTCTGAAGAATAATTTTCACTAATAATTGTCTATAAAATATTTTAATACTAAATCTATAAAAAAAATCAGCTTTAAATTTTAAATGTCAAAAAAGAACAAAATTTTATAAAAAAAACAACCTCTAAAGTGTTTTGATAATTCTGTGTGTAGATAAAACTTGCAGCTCTGTTAACTTTGCACTCTCCATCAACTTTTGTGTCAACTTTGCACTCTCCATCAACTTTTGTGTCAACTTTGCACTCTCCGTCAACTTTTGATGCAAAAAGCTAAAAAAAGTATAATCATTAAAGTACAAAAACTTTTTATTGTTTAAGTTGAACTTTTCCTTTTTTATTCTTGTAGTTGAAATTTTCCTTTTTTAAAATGATTTTGTATTTTATTGTAAATTTTATTTCTTAATGAGTCACATGAAAGATATTATTTTAGAAATTAATATAAAATTAGCAAAAAAACTAATTTCATTCTAAATATTTTCTAAAAACTTGACTGTCTACCCTAAGTTCATCAAAAGACACATATATTTATTATTACAAAGTTCATCAAAAGACACATACATCATAATATTTCAAGTTATTACAAAATTTAAAGTTTTTAATTTCAACTGGATGGAAAATTTAAAAATAAAACATTTTATCTCCTAAACTTTTAATTAAAAAATTAATAACTAACACAATTAATAACTATAGCAATTAATAAATAACAATGTTAATTTAAAAATTCACAAACCAATAAAAGAGTCAACTATACTCAAGTCATGACAAATATAGCAATGACTGGGATGTTGAGAACTCAGATTTCCTTTATATGCATCTGCAACAATAAATAAAATTTGAACTGCAACAATAAATAAATTTTAAAATAAATCGATTTGAAAACTGAACAAATTTTGATTAAAATTTTTTTTAACATTTGATTAAAATATCTTTTAGTGAAATCAAAAAGACAAAATTTTATAAATAAATAATTTTATAAATAAATAAATAATTTGATAAATAATGTATCCAGACAATATTAGGATAAATTTTTGAATCTGGTTTTGGTCATTTCTAATAAAATGTGCTCTGAATGAACTAAAGAGACTTGAATTCAAAAAGGGCCAGAGAAAATTAGGTTTCAAATTTAATGTCAATCAATTGACAATTGGTTGTCAATTATAAAGAAATTAATATTCAAGCCAGAAAAAATAAAAAGACACAAATGCATTATTGAAAAACAAATTTGAAAAATAAATAAATAAAAAAAAGTAGAAAAAAAAAAGACAAGTCTCATAATTCAAAATTACTTCTAATGATGAAAAATACTTTTACTTTGCAGGTGATAAGAAAATACAGCACAAACAACAACTTGTTCAGAAAATTTTTTGGAAAAGAAAAATTTCCCAAAAATGTTTAATGTAGAAAACTTTAACCTTGGTATGTCCAAGCAATTGTTTCTTACATCCAAGGCAGGGTGGTTAAGTTTACACCAAATGGTTTAAACAATGATTTAAACCAATCGAAAAAATATCAATTTAAACCATACTAATTTTTTTTAAACAACTTTAAATATTCAGCAGAAAAGTAAACCAGGGTTGTGTTTACAAGTTGAACTATACCTTTCTTGTTAACACTTTCATGTAAATGTGAATGCACTATGAAAATAATAGAGATGTTAAAATCATAAAGATGTTTTTTAACATCTCTATTATTTTAGTTTTTTATATAATACTAAATTTGAAAAATAGTTTTTTATATAATACTAAATTTGCAGTATGTTAGTTATTGGTATTGCTTATTTGTTTTTTAAATGAGGCAACTGTTATATATATTTAGAGTTTATCATATATACAGATTGACTGAGTAAAAAGTAAGAATATGCTTGGAATCCTGTTTATATACATTTTTTGTTTTTTTTGGTGTTTTTTTGGTGCTGCATTGCTTGTTTTATTTTAGTAAATTTATTAATATTTACATAATTTTAGTATTTGGCCATTAAAGGCACAATTAGATGTATAAACACCAATTTAACATAAATTTTTTATAAGAAGTTTAAATTAGCTTAAAGTTAGTTATATATCTAGGTATACTGTACGGAAATGCTTATCTTTTGCTTTGTTGTACTAACAACTGTGATATTCTCTGTGATATTCAACTGTGATATATAGAAACTATTCTTATTCTATAAAAAAGTTATTTTAATTTTGATAATGTAAATATATTAACATATAATAACATGCAAATTTAATATCAGACTTTGAATGCTTAAAAAAATAAGCAATCTATCAAGATTGTTTACTTAATTTAGCATTTGTATATTATGTAGTAATTAAGTCATACGTTTGTTTGTTATATAAAAAAATATATATATTGCTAGTATGCCCTCATTAAAAAAAAAGCCCTATAATGAACTTAATTTCAAAGAAAATTAAATTTACAGAGTTTCCCATACTCCATTTACCTGATGATTCGTAATTTATTATTTGTAATTTATTTTTTAACAGCATTTTTTTTTCTAATTACATTATTTATTTATCTAGATATTTTCATATAGCACTATCAGAACACTGGCAAAATTCTTTAATATGCTCATATAGCATCATATTTCTTTGTAGCATCATATAGCTTCATATTTCATCAAAATTCTTTTGTTTTTTAAGTTTAATTTTTAGACATAATCTTATGGCAAAAGGATCGTTTATCCATTTTACTATTTTACATTTTTCCATTTTACTAATTTGGTTCAGAGGTTTAAACAAATGGGTGACTAAGGTTTTATTTCTGGCCCCTGTATGGAGAGCCTAATTATAGTTCTTTTTGTTCTTCTTATTGATATCCATTTTGCTCTTCTTGTTGATATCCAACAAGAACATTTTCCAGGATTATCAAAGGAAAAAGATTTTAAGGATTTTCCAGGATTTTCATAGGAAAAAAATTTTCGGGATTTTCGTAAAGTCAAATACTTTTTTTTTTTTTTTTCCATATAGTTGGAGGTGCCTTAGTTATGTATTAGCTCACCTGTAATCTACGTTATATGTATGTTTGTGTTCTGTCTGAACCTCTGGCGCGGTGTTCGCTCACCCGTAAGTTACTTTATGTTCTTTATGTATGTCTGTGTTCTGTCTGAACCTCTGGCGCGGTGTTCGCTCACCCATAAGTTACTTTATGTTCTTTATGTATGTCTGTGTTCTGTCTGAACCTCTGGCGCGGTGTTCGCTCACCCGTAAGTTACTTTATGTTTATGTTTATGTTTTTTATGTTTTTTTATGTATGTTTGTGTTCTGTCTGAACCTCTGGCGTGGTGTTCGCTCATCTGTAAGTTACTATACGTTTTTTATGTATGTTTGTGTTCTGTCTGAACATCTGGCGCGGTGTTGACTCACCCGTAAGTTGATTTATGTTTGTTTGTGTTCTGTTTATACTCTAATGCAGCGTGAGCTCAGTAACTAACTACTTACTCCAACTACAAAACCTACACTCACCTTAGACTCCTGTATTTTGTTAGATACAGTGTTTTCCTAATGCACTTCCAAAATATCATGTCTAGTTTTCTCAAAGTACTGTTGCGGGAAGTAACTCCTTTTAACTACTCCAGGTCAGGTCAGGATAATCGAGACCAATCTTGCTACTGGTATCACGTAACCCAGTACCACCTGCCACAAGCCCTGCTGCCTTGCAGAGTGTGCTCTTCTTAGGCAAAGGCTAGGAGAAATAAACTCCGACTAAAACTTCCCCTGCCTTGGGGCTCTTGGTTGAGTAAAGGCTAGAGATGGTGTCTCGATAAAAATACTCATCTTGGGCAGATGTTAACTGCATCCAGCTACTGTCTTGTAGAAGGCCTCCTAGGCAAAGACATTAGGGGTAAGCAGAAAAATTCTGCTAACCAGCCTCAAACCCCTTCTTCATCTATTAGGCTGGCGTAGATGTAACCTGTGTTACATTGTTTCCTGCCTAGGATGATGAATGCTGGATCTCCTTGACTCTACTCATAGAATTTTGCTTATGCCTCCACGATAATGGCTATGCAACTCTTCCTGTTATCTCCATATGAGGGTACAGCTCTAAAACTCAGTTTAATGGTTCTGAGGCCGGCTGGTAGTAAGGTTTCCCGAACTCTGTGGTAGCTCTCAGAGAGGCTGATTCCATCAACAGCTGCAAAATATCAGAGTATTAACAGTGCCATGTTGCGCATAGATGGTGTCCCTGTTAATGCTTTTGGTGTGCATTGTCAAGGCCACATAAGGAGCCCTGTCACGGCTTAGGGTTAATTAACAGGACAGAGACAACTGCATAGCTCATTGATTAGGAGGCTGTGCTCTATCTATGAATGAGTCAAGTTCTCATTAAACCCAAATCATGACCAAAGTAACCAAAAATTTAAAACCTAAAAAGCCATCCCCACCACCTAAATATTTTAATATATCTTTTACAAATATTCACGGTCTACGAAGCAACTTTCCATCAGTTGAGTCTTACCTCCTGCAAAATTCACCAGACTTGCTTGCACTCAGTGAAACAAATTTAAATTCTGCAATTCCTTTTTCAGATGTCAGTGTTGATGGGTACTATCCTTTGATTCGTAAAGACTCCAATAGTCACATGCTAGGTTTAGGGGTATACATACGCATTAATTCCCCTATTTGTCGTGAAATCAGGTTCGAATCCTTTGACCATTCTTTTATGTGCTTTTGCCTAGCACCTCTTCACTCTATCACCTTTCTCTTTGTTCTTTATCGTTCTCCTTCTTCCCATGATTGCACTCTCTAAGATGTTATCTCTGATCAAATTGACCATGCCCTCTCTCTTTACCCCTCTGCCAATATTGTTGTTGTTGGTGATTTTAATGCCCATCACACTGAATGGCTTGGCTCTAACACCACTGATCCTGGTGGCACTAAAGCCTTTAACTTCTGCGTTTCTCAATCTCTTACTCAGATAGTTAACTTTGTGACTCGTTTTCCTGACAACCCTAATCATTTACCCTCACTCCTTGACTTATGTCTTGTCTCTGACCCTAGCTTATGTTCAGTTTCTCCCTTTTCTCCCTTAAGTGGTTCTGACCATGCAATGATCTCTATAAATCTTTCTTCTCGTACTTCTTTTTTGGGCTCACCTTATCATTGCACCACCTACAACTACCCTAAAGCTGACTGGGATTCCTTTCGTGATTTTCTTCGTAATGGTCCTTGGGCTGATGTTTTTTCTCTCTCAGCTGACAAATGCGCCTCCTACATAACCTCCTGGATTCAGGCTGGAATGAAAGCTTTTATTCCTTCGCGTCGGTTTTAAGT